ACCCTCCTCAAGCGCCCGGTGGAGGCCCGGGTATAAAAGATGAAACTCCATGTGAAATTTCCATTTCACGCGGGGGAGAGTCGACCTGGGTGGGGTGGGAGGGACGATGGTGAGAAAAGGCACGAGCGGCCGGTCTTTCTCCATAGCCATCAACACGCACTTCCCTATCCGAAGTGGGATTTTTAACGTACCATGATTCTATCGGCCGCAGTGGCACGCGTGTCTTGTCGTGCTTGATTGTCACGACAACATCCCCTCGGCCCTTCCCCTCCGGCAGGACCAGCACCTTGTCCGTCAGCAGCTTCTTACCGCCTCCCCCACCAGGTCTTGAAGAGCGCTGTCCGCCATCTGCCGCCAGGCTTCCGGCAGCTCCGAGAGCGAGACCATGGTTCCAAGTAAGGCGTCGCGCCTGTCGCCGAAGTCTCCCCTCTTCACTAGGTAAAGCCGCCTCCTATCGCGGGGGAAGGGCGTGACCTCGTTGGGATTCTTGACTTCGACGGGCGACACCCACGGCGCCTCCACACCCTCCATAGCGCTTCCTGTAGATGGAATTTCCCCTTGAAGGGGGCTGTCTCGGGCACCTGGTGGATGAATTTTTTGAAGAGAGGGTCGACTCGTCAGGCTGTACAGGGCGAGGGGGAGGACGCACACGCAATCCCAGTCCTGTCTCAACTCACCAGCAGATACACGTACTGCACGACGTAAAGATGCGTTGCACTGTCGCCCTTATCTACGACGGTGAGGTACTCCCCCACGCCCAGCGCCTGGACTATCTCCGCTACCCGCCGGATAAGGGCCTGGCCCCGCTGGAAGGGGTCAAGAGCCTCCGCCCACTGGTTTCTGTATATGTCTGCATGGTATGACATAGAGAGCGTGAGTCATTCTTCAGCACGAAGACGCAGGGCTGGCGGGGACGCTCGCTCAGCCTTCTCCTATCACGTTATCGCTCCCTCCCTCCCTCCCTCCACTCACCGTTACGGAAGCCACATGTCTGCGCAAGTCCCGAACACATCAGCACAAAAAGGTAATTTTGTAGCCTCTTTGCTCACCCAGGGCAGACACGTCTTGGCAAATACGTGTTGGCGGCATGGGCACCTTCACCGTCGTCTCCGTCACCTTCTCGATCCCGATGCGCAGTGTCGCAATCGCGGCAGTCGTGCTGCTGCTAAATGCAGTTACGATGTCATTTTCGGT